GAAGAACTTTCTGTTACTAGTTTGAAGCCTGCTACCCATTCCTTTCCTTTGGTGTCCTCTAGTCCTTCTTTATGGGAACTCATGAAGAACTTTTCTGAATGCACCCTCTCCACCCAACCCCTGCTTTTAGAGACCTCTATCCTGTCCCCTCTCCGTCTCCTCTTTTCTAAGCTGAACAGTCCCAGTCTCTGTAGCCTCTCTTCATCTGGGGCCTGTTCCCAACCCCTGATCATGTTAGTTGCCCTCCCCTCTCCCAGCCTTAATCTTCCCCTCTCCCACCTCCTTTTCCCAGTCTCCCCCAGTTTTGTTCAATAAAGACAGAGTCAATGTTGGAAGAAACGTTATCTTTATTTTGTACATCAATAAGAAGGGGGGCTAGGGAAGGGTAAGTGGAAGGAGGTGAGGGAGGAATGGGGTACGAGCCCCCGATGGGGAGGACTGGGCTGGCTCTGCGGGCTTCTGGGGGTGGAAGCTCTCCTGCAGCCCCCCAATTGCCCCCTCTCCCCAGATGGCAGCCTGCGGCAAGTGCAGCCGGGCTGATGGCTGAGTGCTGTGATGTGCCCAGTGTGGGCATTCCGGGCACTCCAAGCCAGGACTGGTTTTCAAGCGGGGCACCCCTTAGAACTGTCTGTCCGGGGTGGGGGTCGGGTCCCTTTAAGCGCAGCCCTCGGCTAGCCTGAGACAGCATCTCCACGCTCTAAGTCCTCCTCTGATGCCCTGCCGGCACTGCTTCTGGCCATCCTTAAGCCCTGTTCAGGGTCCACTCAATGTGGACATGCTAGTTCGAATTAGCAAAACGCTAATTTGAACTAGTTTTTAGTTCTAGACACGTTAGTTCGAATTAGCTTAGTTCGAATTAACTAATTCGAACTAAGTTAGTTCGAACTAACTCTGTAGTGTAGACATACCCCAAGTGCCTTAATCCTGGCTACCCCATCCCTCTGTGGAGGTCATTTTGATCATCTCCATTTTACTGATGGGGAAACTGAGGCATAGAATGGGTGGGTGCCGTATGTCACGTAGTAAGATTGAGCTGAGACTAGAACCCTTGATCCTTCCTTCCCTTAGCAACAGGCGTGTGTGCATAGCTAATGGTATGCCCCTGGAACACATGGGGGTAGAGAACTCCGTGGGACCTCTCCTTTGGGACACTCTTGTGTCCGCGCCGTCTGGCACACAGGAAGGGCAGTGGGGGCTTGGATCCAGCCGGGGTGACAGACAGATGGAAGGGTGTGTTGAGGCACTGGGCTGGGACCCAGGAGATCCGTGTGTAATTCCCAGCTCTGCCACATACTGTCGCTCCAGCACTCATGGCCAGACTTTCATTGGTATTTAGCTGCCCAAAGATGTAGGGTCAGTCGGATGGCGGGGGGGGGGGTCCATGGGAGCTGAGCACTGAACTGTCGTAGGTGCTTTTGAAAATGTATCCGTCAGTGTCTAAACACCTTAGTAAATCTGGTGGCCCCGCCTCCATCCCCCTCCCCTGGTGAAATGGGCAAACAGACAGTCCCTTTTCCCCAGCCTTGCCTGTCCTGTCTCCACCATCCTCCGTGCATTCGTCGGGGCAGGGACTCTCTCTCTCTCTCTCTCTCTCTCTCTCTCCCCAAATGTCTGCACAGCAGCTGGCATGGGAGGGGAGGTGACATGGGGATCTGGGACAGGGGCCTGATCTCAGATGGCAGGGGGCAGGGCATCACCCTGGTGTCTGGCATAGCACAGGGGGATGAGAGAGGCTGATTTCAGTCCAGGCTCTGTGCAGTGTCCCACACAATGGGGGGAGGGGAAGGGGAGGGTCTTGACTGGGGGTCCACACAGCGCCCTGCAGAATGAGAGGCCTGATCTCAGGGCAGTGGGTCTGGGCAGCCCCTGGCATGATGGGGGAGATCTTTGTCAGGTCTCCGCTTAGTGCCTGGCACAGCAGTGGTCCCTGATCTTGGCTGGGGGGGTGGTCTGCTCGGAGCCTGGCATAGCCAGCCTCCCCCATATCACTTAGGGGTAACGTTGGGAGGTGGAAATGGGGGGGGGGCATGCGCAGCACCTAGCACAATGGGGGAGGGAGCCGAGTTTGCTGAGGGAGGGAGAATCCATGCAGAGCCTGGCACGACGAGGGGCTTCTACTCACAACGCTGCTGCTCCTAGTCCTAGTAAGCAACGGCTCAGCTAGGGGACCCAGCTGGCGGGGAGAGGGGCTGCAGCCGCGTCGGGCTGCGGGGCCGTGTCGGCCAGGCTCCTGAGGCTGAAAGGAAGCAGGGGCACCGGGCCAGTTCTGACTCCCCAGCTTGATGTTTCTCCCCGGCCGGCCAGCTGGACGAGCTGTTCCGGAACTCCGACGTGAAGAAGGATTTCAAGAGCATCCGTGTGCGAGACCTGGGCCAGAGCAGCGCCGTCCGCGTCATCGTGGAGTCCCATTTTGACCCCGGTGAGAGCCGCCTCTGCCAGTTCTCCCCGGCGTCGCCATCGGCCAGGGTGGGGGGCAACCGCGGGGCTGGAGCTGCCTCAAACCCAAGGAAGTCGCACCAGCCAGAGGGCGGGAAAGGGCCTCGTTAAAACCTCCGGATGCTGCATCGTTTGCTCAGCAACTGCAGCAGGCGTGCCGGGAGGAGGGCAGCAGGCCCCTGGCAGGGCAGGGAAGGAAAGGCTTCAAGGGGATTGCACGAAAGGGGAAGAGGGTGGGAGCTGTCTGTTCTCACTCTGCCTTTCCCTCCTCCGGCTGGCGCGCAGCCACCTCCTACACAGCGGCCGACGTGCAGAAGGCCCTGCTCAAGCAGATCAAGGCCTCCAAGAAGAGGCCCATCCTTGTGAAGAAGCCTCCGCAGGACCACATCAAATTCATGGACTTTGGTGAGTCCTTGGTAGCCTCTGTCTGCCTGTGTCACTCGCTCTCCTGGCTTCCCTGCTTCTCTCCGTGTTGGGTCCTTTTCGTCTCTGGCTGGCACCCATCAAATGCACCTTTGTGACGTAGTGGGGGGACTTGCTGGGCTGTGGTGACCTCTGCTGTCTGGAGCAAGACCCAGCAGGGAAAACCTCATTATGCAAAGGTGACTCAAAAACCTGTCTGACCTGCGGCCCCCCATGGGGAGAAACAAAGGGAGGTGGAAGGCTGCCCTGGCTATGGGCAGGGCTGGAAGGGGGGAAGGGAGTTCCTGGCTGGAAGGCAGGGAAGAAGGAGCTGGGGAGGGGGGCTGGGACTCCCCTATCTCAAGGGGGGCACTGAGGCCTCTTAGCCCCAGTTCCTGTAACCAGATTACATCTGTGCTGTGCTGTGCTGGAGGAACAATAAACAACCTCCATTCTACTGGCTGGTGAAGTCTGTTCATGCCATTTCGGGGTGCAGGAGATGGGAAAACCCCGACGCGTCGTCACAACCTTGTCGTCCCGAGGACATTTCCACACAAGGACGGCACCGCGAGGGCTGGCCAGGCCCTGCTCTGAGGAAGGGCAGTGCGGGGCTCTGGGACAGACTGGGGGCTGCATTCTGTGCAGCTGGGCTTTGGAACCTCCGACACTGCCTCAGAATTCACACCCGGACCCCAATTCACTCTCTGGCCTGATCAGCAGCTCCCTGGAGTGCTGACTTACCCAGCAGAGGGGCTGGCCTTTGTCTCCATCTCTTCTCCGGTTGCCTGCGCTCGGAACAGAAACCCCCACAGTATAAATCTGCTGCCCCGCCACCACCAAGGGGGGCAGGCAGCCTCATGATCGCCCTGCCCCCAGCTTGCCCAGGAGGTTGGATGCCCTGTGGGGCTGCAGCGCAAAGGCACAGAGATCGGGGCGAGCAGAGACGGCTGGCCAGCCTCTGGCTGATAAACTTGCCAGGAGGAATCAACACCCCAGCAAGTGTTGCCACCGCATGCAGTTCCCTTTTATTCAGGAGCATATTTAGTGTGATTAGCAGTGATGGCCGCTCTGCCAACACCCCCGGGGGTCTGGACAGGGGCTGGAGCCATGCACCTGCCTGCAATCTCCTGTTGCCCAAGGAAGAGTTGCTAATTAGAGGGCAAAGCTATGGGGAGAGAGGGGCTTGAGCCATGAGACCGGCTTTTCTCCAGCCTTTCAAGCCGGTGGAACAGCTGGTTCTTTGGCCATCATCCCTTGCAAGGGCTCATCCAGGCCCAGTGGAGGGCAGAGGATGCTACTTCCCGAATGAAGCAACCCTTGTAAGGGGGTGGGAAGGATCCAGGCTCCATCCCTGAAAAAGCACTAATCTCATGTGGCAGGTGGGGAAACTGAGGCAGGCAACTTGTTTAGCTCGGGGTCATTGTTTGAGCAAGGAATAGAACCCAGGAGTCCTGGCTCCCAGTCCCCATCTCCCATCATGACGCACGTGCCGGGTGCTGGGCCCAAAACGCTGGAGTCCCACCTCTAAGGCACCTCCCCCGTCCAGTTCCTCTCCCTCCCGCTGAAAGCTGGGAATGGAACCCAGGGATGCGACTCCCAGCCCCCTCCCTGCCCCAAGGCTGCTTGCTGGGGGTCAGAGGCCTCCTGTGGACCAATCCACCTCTCGCTGTGTTTCAGACTGGATCCCCAGACTCTTCACCACCACCGCCACCACCACCACTGCCACCACCATGGCTCCTACCACCACCTGGCGGCTGGCTGCCCCCACGGCTGCCCACGTCCTGCCCCCGGAGGCCATGGAGAGGCCCAGTACCAAGATGGGAGGGCCCGCCACCACCAGGAGGCCCGCCACCACCGTGCCGGCCACCACCCGGAGGAAGCCCACGCGCCTAGTCTCCGCCACCAAGAAGCCAGCCCGGCCCTGTGACTCCCACCCCTGCCTGCACGGTGGCACCTGCGAGGACGACGGGAAGGAGTTCGCCTGCAGCTGCCCTGCGGGGAAAGGGGGCGCGGTCTGTGAGAAATGTAGGTGGCTCCCCGTCTGTGGGCGCGGTGATTGAATGCCAGGGGCCTGACGGGGAGGTGCTACGCCCCACCCTGACTCCAGCTGGAGATGGAGGGGGGCTGGGCATGGCCCCAGGATTCCCGGTGGATAACAGTGAACCGCATTTGTGTTGGGGTCGCACAACGGGGTGCCCAGACCAGGCAGTGTGGGTACCACAGTCGGCAGTTAGCCATTTGCATCCTGCAGGTAGACACCTGTCAGGAATGGCCTAGTTCAGGGGAGGGGAACCTTCTTTGGGTCGGGGGCCGCTGACGCTCAGAAAAATCAGTCGGGGGCTGCATGCGAGTGAAGACAAAAAACCAACCAACCCTCCCTGACGTGGCCCGCAACTGAGAAGGAGACAGACCCTCCCCATGTTCCCCTCACACACCAGAGCCAGGGGGGGCCAGGCTAGTAGTATGGGGCTGGAGCACCAGCATGGGCTTTCCAATGCTGGGGGGAACCCTGAGCCTTGGGGCCCGGACCCAGGCAAGCTGGGGGCCACATCTGGGCCTGAGGTTCCCCACTGCTGGTCTAGTTATTACATAGTCGTGCGGGTAACGGCACTAGACGTCCCCTGGAGGCCCCTTCCAGTCCTGCTCTTCTGCGATTCTATGAATTGCCTGCTCATTGTCTTTGCGAACCAAGCCCATGTTTTTCCCTCCCTTTTCATCCCCGCTGCAACCGTCTGCCCCCACGGCGGCACTGCAGGCTGGAGGGAGCTGGAAATGCCCCGCGCCTTCCTTCTGTACAAAACAGACGTAACACTTCCTGTGTAAGGCACCTCAGGAGAAATCCAGCAGCTTTAGTGAGGGGAAGCAGGCGGCAGTAATTTCTTCCTGACCCCAGGGGGATGCACTAGTGCTGTGATGCATGAGGATTGTGAGCTCCGGGCGGGTCCAGTTAGTGGAACGTGCTGTTCTGAGTTCCAGAGGCCAATGAACACTGGGTCTAGCCTAGCACAGCGACAGCTCGAAGTGTTCTTTCAAACCACCGGGGGTACACTGGCGGGGTTCAGGGCCTAGTCCCCCCACCGGGACGACCCCAAACTGGCTGCAGGCTGCAACAGCAGGGGGTCCGACAGCTTCTCTGGGGCCCCGGAAGGGGCAGGGACTCAGGCAAAAGGGGTGAGGCCGGGGGCAGCCAGCCCTGACTGCCTCCTGGAGCGCAGCGCCAATCCCCCCTCCCTCAGCCATGCAGAGCGCAGGGCACGGTGCTCCAACAGCAATTTAAAGGGGTTGGGGTTCTCGTTGCTGCCACAGTAGCAGGGCTGGGAGCCCTGGGCCCCTTTGAATTTCTGGGCCCTGGGGCAATGGCCCCCTCTCCCCTTCCTTCCCCCCGTCGGCAGCTCAGACTAGTTCATCAGTGGGGCGACGATTGTAGCTCTCTTTGGGGGAGTGAGGAAGAAGAGATCGAAAGGATCCAAAGGCTGGAATGGGCTGGGTTCTGAGGCGCACAGCTCATCCGGACGGGGTGTCTCTGACCCAGAGAGAGGTGGGTAACAGAGACCTCCACATGGGTCTAGCTGGGAGCAAAGGGGTGACGCCAAACAAGAGGAAGCGAGGTAAATATCTGGGTGGGGGGTGGTGAGATCTACGAGGCTGAGGAGTAATCGCCCTATGGAAGCCCGATCACGTGGGGCTGAGCAGGAGGCTGGATAAATGACTAAGGAGGGTGGAGTAGGGGACTGACCCCCTGGTGGTTTGGGGTGGGGGCGAGCAGGCCCTTTCCGTCCCTCACCCCGTCTGGCCGACGTGCCGGGAGGGCGGCGCTCTCGGACTCTCCTCAGGGTTTGTCTCTCTCCCCCGCTGTGCTCACAGCCATCAGGTACTTCATCCCCAGCTTCGGCGGGAAGTCGTACCTAGCCTTCAAGATGATGAAGGCCTACCACACGGTGCGCATCGCCATGGAGTTCCGGGCCTCCGAGCTCAGCGGGCTGCTGCTCTACAACGGGCAGAACCGGGGCAAAGACTTCATCTCCCTGGCGCTGGTCAGCGGCTTCGTGGAGCTCAGGTGGGTGTCCCGTCCCCCCAGCAAGGGCTGCTCAGAGGGGGAGGCAGGGGAGAAGCTTGGCCGTGTGAGCAGGGACTCAGCTCCCCTGGACGGTCCATGAGTCGCTCAGGCATTGAAAGCACAGATTTCTGTTCCTCTTTCCCCTCTATGCCGGCTGCCTCCCTGCCAGGCTGTCGGCGTCGCCTCGCCAGGCCCCAAATGCAGCGGCACAGCTGCCTCTTCACGGGCAGGGCTGGCTTCTGCTCTACCCCAGGAGATTTTGCCCCCTACAGGGACACTCCTTTGGTGGCTGATGGGGTGCAAAGCACTGGAGAGATACAGCAGCAGGGGTCTGAACCCAGCCAGCTCCAGGGACCCGGGATAGGATCCAGTTGGGGTCAGAAGGAGCAAAAAATAAAAGGGATCTTGAAGGAAACAAACACTGTGAAAATAAGATCTATTTGTCAGTTTTTCAGGAAAACCCAATGGAAACCTTTAGTTTTCAACACCTGAACACTTCCGGGAGTGTTGATTTTTGGGGTTTATGCTTCTCTTCACTTCTCTAATCCCCCCCCCCCCTTTTTTTTTTTACTGGTAAAGGGCTGAGGGAGGGCAAGCAAAGGGGGAATCCAAAAAAATCAAACCCTGCATGTTTCGAGGATTTCAAAGGCCAGAAAGAAAGCTCCCAGGGAACAGGAGCTGTCTGTCTGTCTGTCTGTCGGAGGGGATAGCAGGGGACTGGAAGGCCTATGCAATGAGTCCAGCTTCCCTACTCGACAATCCCAAAGCCCGTATTGTGTGTACAGTGGTGGGGGGCCAACAGCCTCTGCGGGCCCAGGGGTATCAGTGGGGGGAGGGGGAGCAAGCACCACACTCCCTTAAGGAGTGGGGCCGGGGGCAGCCAGCCCTCAGCGCCGCCCAGACCACGGCACGTTTCCCCTCCCCCACAGCCCTCAGAGCCGGGAGCCCCAGTCCCCTTTGAATCAGCAGGGCCCAGGGCAACTAACCGCCCCCTTTGCCCCCCTCCTCGATGGGCCTGCACAGTGGTCACATCACCCACCACTGACCCGTGGGATGGAAAGGGGCCATCGCGGCTCCTATCCGAGCAGCAGTCCCAAGCCCCCTTTCCTGTGGTGTCACGGAGCCGCCCCACACCCACGGCCCCCCTCCTCCGTTTCAGGTTCAACACGGGATCGGGCACAGGCATCCTCACCAGCAAGGTGCGGGTGGAGCCGGGCAAGTGGCACCAGCTGGTGGTGAACCGGAACCGGCGGAACGGCATGCTGTCGGTGGACGGGGAGCCCCACGTGAACGGGGAGAGCCCGAGCGGCACCGACGGGCTGAACCTGGACACGGATCTGTTCGTCGGAGGGGTGCCGGAAGACCAGACGGCCATGTGAGTAGCGGGCGGGCCAGACTCCTCGCGCCTCCCGCGGGTGGCTCCTGGCCGTGCATCCCTCCAGGGACGGGGCGGAGGCCTGTGCTAGCGTCGTCTTTGGAGCGCAAGCTGGGGCGGTTTCAGAGGCCGACGGCTCTCCGGGTGCAGGGGGACCC